AGGGGGGGGGGGGGGTGGATAGATTCACATAATAATATCCAAACTCGCATTGAACTAAAGTCAACAAAATTATCGAAATCGAAAGTTTATCAAAACAGTTCACAAGACTAGATGTTAACATAGCACAGTATTTCTGGCAATAAAACGCTCCAACTGACCAACTGACCATTTCACTTTGCGAGTTTTCATCCAATTCAATCATATATATGCTCAAAATCTTCGCGGTACGTTTCTCTTTACCGTAAAATTTGACCGAATAAGTTGCAAAACAATGCGACGGCAAAAAATGCAAAGATCTTGATTTTCGTAATAGAATCTATAGTCTTTTTGCCCTCTTGTACCGCCATCTTGGATTTATCATGTAGGCCCCGCGAACTGCACATTTCATCAGTAATTTTAATCAAGTTAAGCGTCGTTTCACTGTAGTAATTTTATAAAACAATTACCAAATGGTTTTCCCGTGCAGGATAGCATGATCCATGCACTTGGGATGTTGCTCGACTTTCGGAAAGCGTAAAATGTTAATAAATTAAAGTTTTACAAAATCTCTCTTCAGACTCGCGCGTTCGCCAATCCTAGACGGCTCATATTTTTCGTTCTGCCTTTTTTCCCTGTTTTCCCCCCTCCCCAGTGAAAATTCCTTAAAAAAGGCACTGAACACAGAAATACAGTTATTGTAAAAAAGGGCGTTATGAAGCAATGTATTTCATAAAAAACACCAACTCTCGGCATATTATTAATGTACAAAGGTGTCATCCACATTCCCAATCTCACTTTTAACTTCTCTGCAAAGTTGAGAGGTCTGGTATACACATTTAAAAAAATTATGTGCACGAGTCAATTTCATGTGAGTAACCATTCCCCTCCCCCCGACAATATACCCGGACACTAGCATTTTTTTGGAATGAAAGGGCAAATTCCAGGCCGCGGGGACACACCAGGAGGGAATTTTTTCTATAATTGGAAGATTTTTCGCTAGTGTCAAATGTCTGGGGGTTTCATTTAAGACTAATCAAACAAACACCCCGGTGCACTAATCTGTGAGCAAATTTACGGGAATGGTGTGCCCAGGAAATGCTCGGAGGTTAGTCATAGTTTTGACACATATACTGTCATACATAAACACAGACTTGACTTTTGGTATAGGATTTCCCCTTTCTTGCCTCTCAGCAATGACGTCATACAATCACTAAGTTAGTTGCACAGCTCTGTATTAATACAAATCAATGGTTGGTTGTGAAAACCTATATTCTAGTATTAACTCAACTGCATGTTCCAATCCTTGTTGGCAAGTTGTTACTTGTTAGAGGGCAATATACAGCTACAGAACACCGTAGCATGCAACCTTCTTACAACTTGAGTTGTACTGTTTATAAAGTCAAGCGCACAACTGACCTACGACGAATTAGGCGAGTTGTGTGCTTGACCCACACAGACAGTACAACTCATGTTGTATTAAGGAGGTTGCATGCAACAGTTTTAGCCAAGAGCTATATAGTCTATCAAGATTTGATAGTCTGAAACCTAGTGTTTGTCGTGTGTTTTAGTAGTAATTTTTAGCATATTTCAGGCACTATTAATGGCCACTGTGCAATTGCCAACTGAAAAGAATATTGAAGATCAATATTCAATTGTCACATTTATATAGTTTTACACTGTACTGAAAAATAATGGCAAGGAATTTTAAGGACTCAGAATGCACACTATATGGTTTATTCAATGACCTACTTGATTAATTTTCAAGTTATGAATATTGTTTTAAAATTATTACTTTATACCGCACAATTATTTCAAATTTTAACATCACAACTGAATATAGTGGCTATTCATTACACAAGTTATAACAATGTATCAGCAAATAACGATTGCATGTCTTTTTGAAACCCATATTAGAAAGGTTCATGCAAACATGACTTCCACTATACCACTAGTGCAGCTACCTATCATTGGCAGCTGCACCCTTGTTTGATTTGTAAATTAAACTTTTCTGATTGATTAATTGTAGCAATAGCAGTGGTGGAAGTCAAATCCGACCTCTTTATCATCCTTTCAAGATTTGAACTAGTCACTTCAATTCAGGGATGCACATGCACATTTATTCTTGACTTGTTTAACACAGCTACTGTAACTCTTCTAGTTGGAGGCCCATTTCTTAGGAATCTGTGAATCAATGATATAGAAAACTGGCCTTGTTTTTGCTACCTAAGCAAAAATTATCACAATCATGATTATCACGTCGATTTGGTTTTTATTAACAGTTAAAGTCCAGGTTGCATGTATTTTATCCTGCATGGCACCAGGGAACAGTCCGGTTTCCAAGTGTTTATGTGATGAATTAAATTTTACTCCTGGCTTCTGAGGGAAGGTCTTGCTTAATGTGAGATTCCAATAACCGGGCCAGCTTAGATTATTAATAATGTAAGGCAATTTTAACTATAATAATGGTCTCTGGGCTCTTCCTCTAAAATATTCCTTAGTTGCGATATCATCCGGTAAGTGTAGAAATATACTACAAACTAGGGGCTTCGCCGTGTTTTAATTAAACTTCAAATTCTAGCATTGATTTTATATACAGTATTGGAGTTATATATCTGTATGCTCCCATCCAACTTCGAAGGGCCAGCAGTCCTGCCGAGATATCAAGATTTTAGATTTAAATTCACAGTTTTGGTGCGCATGCGATATTCGCCATGTAATGTTCACAAATGCATGCTGTTGAAATCTGGATTAGCCTACTTTTTGTCTTAATCTTTTTAAACTTTTTCCCAACTTTTTTAATTCTCAAATTGTTTGATAGACATTTAGTTTATGTGTTTGGGTTAGGGAAGGGTTTTGGATTGGGTTCAGTTTATTTTATAAAAAATTATCTTTAACTATAAGCACTGACAAAGAACGCCCAGGCCGGATACTGTGAAATCCCATTGAGGCACACAATTCTTTTCAAGAAGTTGACAAAAAAATTTGGTGTGCTTGCAAAAGTCCCAAGTCTGTTTCTTCCTACTTTTCTCTCATATTTTCGCGCCTTTTTTACCGCTCGCATGCATCGTTATTTAAACAACTCCTTGGGAGACGGACTTGAACCAAGTCTACTGATAACCATAGAATGATAACTATGAATCTCATTAGAATAACAATATAATTCATTACTGTATATTATATTTTATTTTATTTTATTTTATTTTACAGATTTTGCCATTTAACACAAACTATTACACAAAATTAGTTAACACAAACTATTACACACAATAGATTACATGGCGGGAATTACCACACAGAAATTAGTTCTCCAATAACGGGGTTCCAAGACATTCGAAATACACAGTATGAACAATAACAGGCTTGCAGACCGACAAACAAACAAACAGACAGACAGACAGACAGACAGACAGACAGATATGTTAGTCAACGTTTTTCATAAATGTGGTCCTTCACTGTCACGTGCCTATATATTGTATTTTTGCCCAACTAACCAATAGCAATGTTTTAGGAAAGTTACATACGTATCCGTGACTCGGACAATAGGGTCAATTGAAAATTGCTATTGGTATATTTGACAGCAATACAATACACACGTCACGGTGAAGGACCATATTTATGAATAAACGTAGACTAACACAGATAATGAGTTATATTGTTATTCTAATGAGTTTCACAGTGGTCTTCCCTTCGACAGACTATGTGATAACCAAAATGTATTTCAAGGATTCATCGTATAGTTCTTTGAATCATTCCCAAGTTTATTCCATGCAATACAATTATAGGTTCCAGCATCACTCCACTGCACTTTGGATATGGTATACGTCTTGTCAGCAGTGACCAATTTGCTATCGTTATGCATTATAGTATAACTTGGTTCAGGAAGACCGTCCGAATAACACGAAATGGTAACTGATCCACCAACTACAGCTGGTTCTGGCGTTATCATAATGGCTGTATTGTTAGGTTTAACTGCAAAGAGGAGAAATCTTCGTTACTAACGAAAATAGGCCAAGCGTGTAAACGTATAATTCCCCTGAACAATTAGACAACGACGTCGAGTTGTCTATGAGCGAAGTAGTCAACGAAGGCGTAGCCTGAGTTAACTATTCGCCATAGACAACGAGGCCGATTTGGCTAATTGTTTTAGTATACACTCCTACTCAAAATACAAACTCCAGGCACAATTTGAAAGATTTCAATAAAATTTAAAACCACGCACGAGCGTTGATTTCTCTCAATATTGCACCAATTCAAATTGCCCAATCAAACAGCAGCTTTTGCACCACGTGACGATGTGATTCTTTACGGTATTTCACTCAAGTTCATGATTTCGAAATGCAGCGTGAGATACTTTATTATGCTCAAATATTTTAATGAGAAAACGTCAAAAACTCAATTGCAAGTATGCATAAGAAATAAAAATTGTATTTGCTTAGTTAATATTGAGCAAGTTTAAAAGTTTATTCCTAATTTAGCGGGTTCTTTAACTTTCGGTATAATATATCATTCATAGACCCTCCGCTTGGACGCGATTCGTCGAAATATCACCCGAAGTGGTGATAATTCCCGAGGGGCTTTGCTCCGAAGGAAATGTCATCACTGACGCTCCTGGTCTATAAATGATAAATATTCCCACGTTTCGCTTTCGGCTTTTTTGTGTTTTCGGCTTTTGTGTTTTCGGCTTTTTTGTTTTTTGAGGGGCTTTGCCCCGAAGGAAATGTCATCACTGACGCTCCGGGTCTATAAATGATAAATATTCCCACGTTTTGCTTTCGGCTTTTTTGTTTACTTTTCGCGAACCATCCGGCGAAAAGTTTTTTTAAAAATACAAAGCTCGTGAGCTTTGAAACTATTTCAAAACAGGCCGAAAAACAGTCATTATATAAAAAAAATACAAGCCAAGTTTTGGTGATTATAAGAGGACAACATAAGACTTAAGCCGGTTTTCCACTAGGCGGAATTTTACGCGCGGAGCGGACTTTTTCTTTGTCTTGTGATTTCTCGGGTGGAACTAATTAGAAAAGACAAAGAAAAATTCCGCTCCGCGCGCAAAATTCCGCCTAGTGGAAAACAGGCTTTAAAGTACAGGACTTAAGATGTTTTCAAACTGTAAGCAATAATGGTTTCCCAAAATGTTGCAGCAGTTTACGTTCAAAAGTCGTATAAAATGCACGCAAAGCAATCCTAATATATGTCGTTGAAATAAATAAAATACATGACAAAATAACTGTGAAAAACAATACTATATAGCACCTGAATGGAAATACAAAATTTGACACTAAGATTTTATCGAAAAATTCGGAAGCCATATAATTCCATAAAGAAAGATGTTTTTACAGTCGGGAAATATCGAAGCACACAAATAAGACCATTTAAAGAGGGGAAAGTCTTAAAATATTGCTGTTTCAAAATTTTCAAAGCTCGCGAGCTGTGTATTTTTAAGAAACTATTTGCCGGGTTGTTTGCGAAAAGTAAACAAAAAAGCCGCAAGCGAAGCATGCGAATATTGAAAGAATTAACGCTCGTGCATGCGTGGTTTTAAATTTTATTGAAATCATTCAAATTGTCTCTGGGGTTTGTATTTTGAGTAGGGGTGTATAGTAAAACAATTAGACAACTCGGCCTCGTTGTCTATGGCGACTAGTCAAGACTTCGTTTATTATATATATTCGCCCAATAGACAACTCGACCTCGTTGTCAAACTGTTACCAATGGTCCATGGTTGAGCAGCCATTCGGAATGCTGGATTTGAAGTAGTCGCTGGTTGAGTGTATATTAATAAATGCTTGACCTGAGCATAAATCATACTTACAATTAAGTCTTACTATTATGTCAATTGATCTTTCATCCGTTGCATTGATACGGCTAGCGCTTTGCGCTACACATTTGTATGTTCCAATATCAGTTTTCTTAACATTACTGAGAGACAATGTTTGCTTTTCATGCCCTATTCCACTAATTTGCAGGCTATCCTTATACCAAATTACTTTCGCAGGAGGATTTCCACCTTCGCCTCTACATGCACATTTGATATTATCACCTTCATTTACTATGGCCGGACTGGAACAATTGACTGTCACTGTTGGTTTCACTAAAATATAATGTATAGAGTGATAATCAGAATCATAATAAGTTGGGTTTTTTTCTACATATAATTTTCGGAATTATTTTGAAAATCTTTCAAAACGTAATTATTGTTTTATTATTTTGTTACCTTTTAGAATGAATACTGTATACCATGCATAATAGTACAGTAATAGACATACAGTAGTACACATACAGTTGTTAACAAGTTATGTATAAGGGACCATTCATTATTTATGACTGGGGGTGGGCTGGCAAAATTCAATTAACAACTATACAAAATATCCTGCCCCACACCCTATATCACAAAAAAATTCAATGACCCCCTTCATATGAATTCTAAAAAATAATACCCCCCCCCCTCACCACCACCACCGACAATATAATAAATGTACAGTAGACAGTACAGTAGGCAGTACTGTATAGGAATGAGCTCTTTAAACTTGTTGTAAAAAGCATCAGATCTTTCATTTACTTGTTCTTTTAACAATTAATATGCACGCCTATTTAACCCATTAAGCTGCAGAGTTTCCTGTTGACGAGTAAAATCGTCTCGCGTTAAACAAGTAAAAAAAATAAGTAGTGTGCACTGCGGCGCAATGGAGACATTGTCAAATTTTTTGGTTAACCCATTAAGCTTCAGAGCGCCGAAGAGATTAAAGCTGGGGGTCATACTATTTTTCACTATTAAGAGTGTAGTAAAAAGTTGTCAAAAAGAGAATAGTTTCTTGAAGTTGCTCCAGCAGAGAAAAGTTGCTCCAAATGCAAAAAGTTGCTCCAAATGCAAAAAGTTGCTCAAAAGTTGCCGAGCACAATCGGGACATGCCTAGCAGAGCTTCCATGTTGACAAGTAAAATTTACGACAGTATGATTTATCAGGTTGCAAATAGAATCGAATATGTCAACATTGTCGTTGTTTATTGTATTAATTAATTAGAATCGACCATGTATGTCGCTGTCAACAACAGAGAACAGAAATGACAATCTTGATAGCCATATCTTGCCACTTATCCTGCCAGTATTATTATGATCTGCACAACACTTCTAATCATGGAGAATGAATGACATCGATGAAAAGATATCAACATACATAGCCACTGGATTGAAGTATGGCACTAATATTAAATTTATGAAATCTTCAGTCTTGATCCACGAGAGAAAAATTCATTGCTACAGAGAAAGTTGAAACAGTTTGAAACAGTGTAACCTGATCGAGTAATGAAGCATTTTGAAGAACAAGAAACAACAACGATGTTCACTTCCCTCAGAGAGGAAAAGAGTTTATGAATAATTAACCATCACTAAATAAAGAATATGTCGATCTTTTTCAACTTCACCTAACTGCGTTGGAAATCGACGTCCTTAGATCTTTGCTTGGACTATCCTTGAAATTCAGCTCCGCGAAAATTGTATACGCAGCCTCTAAACCTAAGCCTTTGATGTGTCCTTGAACAAGAACTCTTCCTGTGTTAAGACTTTGTAGTGTTCAGTGTGTGCAAATTATTTTTGACACATCAAAATACTTTGTAACTTCTTAAATCTGTTTATGCTTATTGAAAAATGCACGTAACAGTCGTTTACATATTTTTGTCATATCTGATGTTTTGTATGTGATTAAATGTGTTTATAATATTTCAACTGTGTCCAATTTACTTAATACTTTCTTTCAGTAAATTCAGAATTTGACAATAGCGATTAAGGTGGATTAATACGGGCAACAAAATTGCTGCAACTTGCAACAAAATTTATGCATATGTTTCATGCATATGATTTATGCGCATGTTAATTGAAATGTTTACACATACATTACAAATCTCGAGGCATTTAATTTTGTTACAAGTTGCAGCAATTTTGTTCCTCGTATTACTCTATCTTTAGCAACAATGCTGGCTACCCACATGTACGCAGCGCGTACCTATTTTTTAACACTACTAGATTGTGAGTGACCTTCACATGGTGTAGCGAGAGCAGCCTTGGTTAGCCTGCGTAGCATGCAGTAGAAGCTAGAAATACCGCCTGCCCAAAAACTACACATTCTGAGTTCCGCTCACCGAACGCATGGTCCTGCCCATCTTAATATGTATTTTAATTATTTGTCAAACTCACAAATATACGGCTTTAATTCTCAATTAATACATTCGTTATTTTTTGGTTACTATTGTACGCCATCACTCGATATATCGGTATCAATTACGAAAATAACAATAGTTTATATTATAAATACGGCAACAGTAACTTCTAAAATTAGCACAAATTATTCTAATTCTTTACTCCTGTCAATCAAAAATTCAAAATCAACATTCTGACCAATCAGAATGCTCCGGCACCCAGCTGCCGAGGAGAACTTAGAATGTGTAGTTTTAGGGCAGGCGGTATTTCTAGCTTCCCATTCTTTCGTGCCCGCGAATACCGCCTGCTACGCAGGCTAAGGCTTGGTACGATTCAATACTGATGCTTGCTGATGTCTAACATGAAGTATTGTGATATGCATTGTCGCATCGCTTGCTCAAATCACACTCAAATTTAATAATCACCGCGATTACTAAAAGTCTATTACATGCATTAAAGATGTTGCAATATTTCCTCCGTTATAAAGATGTCATGAAAAGAAATATCATGATTGAACCATCTGTAATGTAAGGTATATATATATATATATATATATATATATATATATATATATATATATATATATATATATATATATATATATATATATATATATATACACGTATTAAAGAAAATTTATTTGTTAATTATATTGAAGGGGTTGGTCAAGTTTGTACTGTATGTAAACAAAGGGTTCGTTTACATTTTGAAGATGCTATATAAATTTATGCACGCTAATTAATTTTCATGCAATGCCAATGTGTCCGCTATTTGGAAAAAATTTAATCATATAATTAGATGTGAAACTAGTCCTATCTAACATTCATAACATGGTGTCACAATAGCTATAATGCAGATGTATCCGGTACTGTATATCAAAGTGAAGCCAATGCAATTCTAGCAAAACTAGTGTATATTATGCATGGATCAATTCCTACGGTTACCACCCACCCCCCGACAATACCCCCCGGGATTTGTATTTTTTTGCAAGAATGTAGCAAATTCCCCACCCCCGGTACTTTAAAACTTGACAATTCCCCACCCCGGGGCATCGCTAAAAAACTAAAAATAAGAAATATCAATAAGCAGTTTATAACACGCATTTTTAATATTCTTCGTATAAACATATGTAAAATTTGAAAAGTGCGTTTATATATACCGATTAATTACTTGGTATTATAAAGTAACTATAATTAGTCACTATAACACGATTAGCTATATAAAAAAAGCCGCTTGAATTGAGCACGAGGTAGTCGCCATTTTGAATCAGTGAACTCTACTACTGTATATATAGTAGAGTTCACTGTTTTGAATACTTTTGGACGTGCGCTCACTGAACTATATACATGTCACTGGATGCACTAGCTGCTAGATATAAACAACTTGTACACTCTTTAAACATTTTAAATATATAATTCTGTTAAATATACTCGTGATTTTAGTCATAAGATTGTCAACTCTAAGCCATCGTCCAAGTATTGATAAGCTCCTCAAAAATTGTTTCTTAATTTAAAAGTCCGAAACTTTTATTACATAAAAGCTGCGCAATGACATAATCAATTCGTCACTATACCTATCGCCTCAGCCTGTTATTTCGGAACTTTGTGACCAATATGACAAGATTTTATCTTCAATCCTTGATGATCATGCACTACTATTCACTAAAACCGTCATCCACCGACCGGCAGCTACTTGGTACAATGAGGATATTGCAGTGCAAAAATCCAAGAGACACAGGTTTGAACGATGCTGGCGTCGGTCTGGTCTCCAAGTTGATCTACATGTTTACATTAATCAGTGCTTATTGGTCAAAGAATTAGCTTATACTGAAAAAGCGAATTATTCTTCTTCCTTGATTGAGGAAGCGGCATCAGACAATAAGAAACTGTTTCACACTGTTGATCGTCTCCTCCGTAGGCGCCCTGAGAAATTCTATCCATCATGTGAGTCACTCAACGAACTGTCAACCCAAATTAACAATTTTTCACTAAGGAATTGTCAAAATTAGGGAAGAATTAGCCAATGATGAATTTGCTCAGACTCGTCTACCAAAATTTGACACTTCCCTCACGCCCCAGTCTGAACTGCTTACCTTTCTACCAACCACTGTGGATGAATTATCAAACTAAATATATCCCATCGCATCCAAATCTTGTGTTCTTAACTTATTACCAGCTAAATTACTTATTCCTCAAATAAATGATCTTCTACCATGCAGTTATTCGTAAAATTGTCAATTTATTATTGGAATCAAGTCATAGCCATCTATTCTGAAAAAGGCTTTGTTAACTCCGACCTTGGAGAAACCTTCATTGGATTATCAGGAATATGTTAATTTCAGACCAATGTTGTATCTTAAGATGGTCTCTAAGGTGATTGAAAAAATTGTAGCCTCTCGTTTAATCAGTTACCTTGATGAAAATAACCGACATGAACCATTCCAATATATATATAAACGATACCATAGTTGTGAAACTGCTCTGATTAGAGTACAGACGATATCCTACGTGCCTTGGATAGTCACAACTGTGTTGTACTTCTACTCCTCGATCTGTCTTCTGCATTTGACACAGTAGACCGTGAAATTTTGATTCACCGTTTAAGAACTAGATTTGGTATAAAAGGAAAAGCCTTGGATTGGCTTCGATCGTACTTGACTAATCGACCTCAATTCGTGAATAATTGATGGTTCTAAGTCTGAAACTCACAACATGACCTGTGGTGTTCCTCAGGGTTCTGTGCTTGGCCCAATTTTGTGTTTACTCAATACATCACCCTTGGCTGATATTCTACGGCATCATAACATGCTATTCATTTCTATGCAAATGACACCCAGTTATATACTTTATTTGCATGCACTGATGACAATAGGATAATTTCTACGGCCCAACGTATTGAAAACTGCCTTGCTGATATAACGACATGGATGTTGCTAAACAAACTGAAACTTAATGGAGATAAGACTGGACTCCTGGTTATCCATTCTCGCCATCGTCTATCAACAGTGTTTTCTCTAAACTGTGGATATGATATTATTACTCCTTCAGATATGGCAAGGAATATTGGCGTGATCTTTGATAAAAATATGACTACGACACCACAAATTAACTCTGTTTGCAAAGGAGCCTTCTATCACTTGAGGAATATTGCAAAAATAAGGAAATTTCTAAATCCAAAATTTACCGAGATCCTTGTTCATGCTTTTATCAGTTCCAAATTGGACTATTATAACTCCTTTTACTCTATGGGGTTCCCAAGTTCTAACTACAAAAGCTACAACATGTGCAGAATGCTGCCGCGCGACTTATAACCCAGTCCTGCAAATACGAACGTATGACGCCGGTGTTAATTAACTTGCATTGGCTACCTGTTGAATATTGAGTTAAATTTAAATTACTCCTGCTGACCTTTAAAGCCTTAAATGAACTTGCACCAAAGTACTAAACATAGATGATTGAATACTATACTCTCTCAAAAACTCTTCGTTCTTCGTCTGCCCCTTTATTTTAAACAAGTAAGACTTAATCTTCAATCTAATGGGGCAAAATGTTTACAATCTCAGCACCAATGATAAGGAACAATTTATCATTAGACCTATGGCCTTGCTCTAACCTTGATATATTTTTAAATCAAATTAAAAACCTATCTTTTTAAACTAGCGTTTAAACTTGACTAAACAACTATTTTATAACACAGCAACATTTATGTATATATATATATATATATATATATATATATATATATATATATATATATTTATATATATATATATATATATATATATATATATATATATATATATATATATATAGAAAGACACAAAAACTTAGCAAGCTTTGTTTGGCATATTTATTACTATACAGTTTCGTACCACGTAAATAACGTGGCACTCTTCAGATAAAATAGGCTATTTTATCTGACGAGTGCCACGTTATTTACGTGGTACGAAACTGTATAGTAATAAATATGCCAAACAAAGCTTGCTAAGTTTTTGTGTCTTTCTATTATGCTCTGGTTATCCATTGAGCACTCTATCATTGGTTTTTATAACCCTACACAAACTATTTTATATATATATATATATAATTATATATATATATATATATATATATATATATATATATATATATATATATATATATATATATATATATATATATATATATATATATATATATATATTCTATATCTGATCATTTCATCAATCTGTAAATAACTTATACAATTAATGATTTCATTGAATTGTAACTTAGATTAAATTTTGTAAAGCGCTTAGAACATTTTGGTATAGGCGCTATATAAATGTTAGTATAATTACTATTATTATTATTATAATTATTATTGAAAGAAAAATTAATTTTCCATTTTCTAATGTAAATTTGTGAAATTAATTTGCCGAAATTCGTTTAATTTTCCAATTTTCTTGAGAATGCATTTTTATGAAATTAATTTGCTGAAACTGATTTTCAGAATTCACAATATTTAAAAGAAAGGAGCTGACTATTTATCTCCAGGAACGCAAAAATCGTTCAAATTCCTGTAAATTATCATCGAAACAGGTTACTCTTGAAATATTGTAGGAAAGAGCTCCACTCCTCCCAAACTTTACTATAACAAAAACAAGAAGACACAACACTAGATTTATAAAGCTTCGGATTATTAGCGATGCAACTATCTGAAAAACACAGGAACTTCGACGTATCGAGCGAAGGCCTTTCGTTGGGAAGTTACTGTAGATATACCACTTCCTCCGCCAAATGTTACCGAAAAAGACAAAACTCCAAATCTGAACTACTTACCTGCAATAAAAACGGAAACTTTAGATTCACCACCGCCAGGTGATACAAGTTGAAAGAAGTATGTTCCATTATAACTGAGATCAACGTTTTTTAAAACTAATGTTGCTGGCTTTTCTATATCAACCCCAGTTATGGTGCTGTTTAGTATTTGGGGATTACCATCAAATACTATAAATGCAAGTGGCTCTCTTGGTGAACCGCCAGTACTTTTAAAATACCATATTCGATAATCACTTTAGATATATCATCATCATACGACCACTGTATTTTCGCAGTTGATCCAGGTAAAGTTGTCAATCTGTTTCCAATAGATGGTAGATTGATTTTTACTAAACAGAATAGAAGAATAATATATTTCTGGTTTACGTTTGTAGGAACTGTATTTTGTTATAGGCAATATAATAATATTTTGAGTCAATAAAATTATCTCTGTATATTCGAACTTGTACATAATATTTCAAATCGACTATGAGGACTGGACTAGATTTCAAGTCCGCTAAATTTAATCAAGACCGGTGCGAATTAAGCCTGGATCAAAATGCGAGAATTTGCAATCAAGTCTAGTGCTGCATGATGCTCGAACTTGAAATAACAGCTCTTACAAATAATTTACTATACGTAAAGTGTGGGGAATTAATTTTGATCCAGTCGCATATGTTTTTTTAGATGAAGATGTTAGATGAAGATAAGGATTGCTAGTTATTAGAAATCGTATAAGATCAATCATTAAAGTTAAAGTGCAAAGACGCGGTCTTAGACGATCTGACCGTTGGAAATTTTAAATTCATTCCTAGTTTAAGAGGCGCTCGGCGTATATTTTTTTATGTTTGTCCTTTGCTTTTATCAGAAAAACGGGTTCCTTGAAGAAAAATTTTAGGAAGAAATCCTACATTCACAATGCAGAAAATGGCATTTCCGACGTTCAAAATTGAAAATTTTCTTGTGGGAGTACACACCCGGACACTTCTAGTTGTTTTAAGTCGAGGAGCTCCTGGATCGCCCTTGTGTAGCAGTACCCCCCCCCCCCTCCCCCCACACGTTTGGGATGCTTCCGCGGCCTATGTGGCTACCTCATACAGGGTGGTCGCTTAATACGGAGTCGCTAGAAATAGATCTTTAGCATAGCTCAATCATTTGTTCATTACAGAGTTAAGATAAGGAGAATGCTTGCATGGAAGATAGTGCAAAGGCGTAAAGAACGTCAACTGAAAATATACAGTGTCACGACAGTTACAACCATATGAAAACAAGCATAAAAATCATTCACCACAAACACTTCACGACACGTTCGCGATAGTTACACTCGTATGGAAACCAGGCTTAAGCGAAAAATAGAAACAATGTTCACATTGTTCGTAGAGATTGGTATTCATAACGAGATGCCCGACAAAATGACATGACCTGTTGGGAAACATGTTTGATTTATTAGATTAAGTTTAATTTGGAGACTAAATTAAAGTTGCAGATTTGTCAGTATGGCCATTAATAAAACAATCGATCAATTAGTTGACTGTTCGGGATGACAATCACAAACGCGTGGCGATTTCCTGGACTATCCCACGCATCTTCGAGAATGAAAACAACACAAAATTTGGAAAGTTGCCGGGTATTTTTAATACTATATTCTGAATTATCTTTTAATATCTAATGAGTAATGAAAAGAAACTTTGAATAATCCTTCGTTAAATGTGGCATATCAATTCAAACAACAGTGACATCGAGATGCAATGCAGCTATGTCTGTGCTACAAATAACGCTTCGAAAAATCAAAGCATAAGAAGCAAATTGTATTTTTTATTAAAAAATTTAGAAACTGTTGTCTGAGTGAAAACATTTGTTATCTATAGAGTATAGTAAGCAAACGTCCCAAATATCGTTTAAAAATCTTCATAGGAAATATTTTAACGAACCTATAATGCAAGTTGATCTCATCTTGCCGGGCTGGTTCGTTTCTCATATGAACAGAAATTGAACTTTAAATGCGTTAAATTAATAATGGGTATGCAGACTGATGGAAGTTTCACGGTTAGCTGCTGGGCTCATTTGAACAAGCCCGTAATTGTTACGACTTTTTCAATAGTTACAGAACATCATGGTCTGCAGCTATTGATGTATTGGATAAAAAAGATAGCTTTCTTCATGTTGCCATGACAACAGTACTATTGACACGGTAAGAAGAGAATTCTAAATATTCCTTAGATGTACGTTGAATATTACAAGGTGTATAAAAAAAACTGAACAGATTTGAAATTGCTCTCAATTTCGCAAAACAGCTATTAGTATCCAGTTTTTGATATATATAGTTTCTCTGGGTACTTATAATGTAGAATAATAAAAACAATTTCTCGAACTCAAATTTTGTAAACCAGGAGGGTCTTTTCCAAGAAACTAAAAATGGCTTGCGCACGAAATTTAAAACTCTTTAATTATATTTTGAGTTGATAGATAGAACATTTGTTGAGTTTTTAATTACTGTACAAAATTTCAGACAATTCTCTTTAGTTTAAGCCCTTCACCTATTCATTTTCTCTAAAAAATTAGCCTTTCGCATGCTAAATTAATGCCTTTACCTAATTTGCATGTTGCTGACATATGCAAATTAGGCAAAGGCATTAATTAGCGTGCAAATAGCTGATTTTTTAAGAAAAAATGTAAGTTTGCGTGAATGGTTAAAGGGCTTAAACTAAAGCCGAAATCGTCTGAAATTTTGTACAGTAATTAAACACCCAACAAATGTTCCATCTGTTAACTTAAAATATGATTAAAGCTTTTAAATTTCGTGCGCAAGGCATTTTTAATTCGTTGGAAAAGATAACCCACCCCCGTTCACAAAATTTGAGTTCGAGAAATTGTTTTCATTTTTCTACATTATAAGTACTCAAAGAAGCTATATACATAAAAAACTGGATACTAATAGATGTTTTGCGAAATTAAGAGCAATTTCAAATCTGTTAATTCAGTTTTTTTATACACCCTGTATAGTTGCACAACTTTAGGGAGCCACCTTAATACTGTAGCCTATAGAGAATCTTTATACGGATTATGAATAAAATTTTTTGTATGTCTATAAATAGTTCGCTTTCAGATTACTAGCTCCAATTATATTAGGGATATAATATTACAGTATTAAAATATGCAGTGGCGTAGCTGGCCTTCCTAGAGGGGTTCGGGGGCATGCCCCCCCGAGAAAATTTGAAATCTAGAACCGCGGAAATGGCATTTCCTGCGATTTCGAGGGTGGAAGGATGCCACTAAACAAAGTTTCCATACACCTCTAACAGGAGTATTTTCGCTTCGTAAAATACAAAAAATGCCATCTGGCCCAGAGAAAATCTGTGTGAGCTCAGAGAAGTGCTGTGCTAGGCAAAAATATTGCCTTCTGCACTGAGTACTGCGTATAACGTTATACCGACCGCGTATAATGTCTCAAGCACCGCGTATAATGCTAAAAGCACCTCGTATGTCTCAAACAATCCATACATGTCCAATACTAACGAAAATGTCCAATGGACATATGAAATGTCCATTGGACATTTGACGACCAAGGAATGTCCATCAATTGAATATATACATACTTCTCAATGCTTCCTTGTATTATCAATATATTATGTTGCTAACGACGCAATATATCAATATATTATGTTGTTTTGTTCCTATAAGAAAGCACGCAATATATCAATATAATATGTTGTTGCTTCGTTCTTAAGGAACGACGCAATATATCAATATATTATGTTGCTAAAGTCAAAGTTTTTTTAATGTGAAGTTTTAACGCGTAAAGTTTCTTCCTAAGAAAGCACGCAATATATCAATATAAAATGTTGTTGCTTCGTTCTTTAGGAACGACGCAATATATCAATATATTATGTTGCTTTGTTCCTAGGAAAGCACGCTCTTAAGGAACGACGCAATATATCAATGTATTATGTTGCTTCGTTCCAAAGAAAGCACGCCATATATCAATATAATATGTTGTTGCTTTGTTCTTAAGAAACCACGCAATATAATCAATATATTATATTCCCTTGCGGTCACCTAATTACTTATCGAGTTAATTTAAGGCTACTTTCCACTCCGGAAAATTATCCATGGATTGGAACGGGCAAGAAAATTTCTCTTTGTGTTGAAGTCATTAGTTCCAACCATGCAGAGCTCACAACACAAAGAAAAATTTTCTTGTGCGTTCCAATCCACGGATAATTTTCCTGAGTTGAAAGTAGCCTTTACCTAATCGGTGATTGGTGATTACTGATCGAGTCTACCTGCAAAACATCAACTAATAAACTGTGTACTGAAGTCATTCAGTCACACTACAGTTGTAATTAAGAGAACATCGGTATCTTTTCGAATCTTGCCACGAGAAATATTTGCGTATATAAGTATAACTATTCACTACGGTCGATCGAGCTATAAGTTTGAAATACCGGCCGCTTTAACACGATGCACAAAAGACATGCATGTATCGACATTCAATTTATTCAGGCTTTAGTCCCATTCAGACACAACCGATATTAAACAACCGAGTATTTTGCATAAGTATGCAAATTCAAAAGCGGAAACCCGTAGCCTCGTAGGAATCAGAAATTTTGCTTATGCTTACGCATCGATAATGATGTTATTTTATAAAATAACATGTGTATAAAGGCCTGATTCCACGGGCGCTTTTTCTTGGCGAAATGCGAAATATTTCGCCTGTTTCTTTTGAATTGTGATCAATCAAGTAGAAATAATTTTATTCGAGTATAGTCGCAATTCAAAAGAAAAAGGCGAAATATTTCGCATTTCGCCAAGAAAAAGCGCCCGTGGAATCAGGCCTTAACGCGTGCCCTGATTGGGCGAAACCCGTGTTTGGATCAGGCATCGAAACACGGAAATTTAAAGTCAAAGTTTTTTCAATGTGAAATTTTAACGCGTAAAGTTGTTATTTTATAAAACAGTTGGCTTATATGCTTTCCGTGTCCATCTAAACACGGAAACCATAAAGTAATTGTACAATGAGGCCATAATTAAGTCCGCTTTCGTCTTTAGACGGGAGGTCAACTATTTGCTCCTTCTAATATCATATGAAATGTCCATAGCATTCACATATGCCAAATTCTATAGAGTTAAGGGGCTGATTACATGGAGAGTTAAACGAGCTGAAATTGCCCGGTTAAACGAGCTGAAATTGCAATATTGCATCACGATTACATGAGCAGTTTGAACCCGGGCCGAGTTTAGTCAGAACTAATCC